GGATACCTCTATCGCCAAGCGGTTCAAAGCGTTTTGGACTGCCTGTGTGTTGTCACCCAGCAAGGCGATGTCATCGGCACATTCTAAGTCAAGAACTGGGTTCCCTAGGAGGAGTTCGACTCCTTCGTTTGCTAGACCGGACAAAGCATTCCGTAGAAGATCCTCAATGGCGAAGTTGAACAGAAATGGGGGTACAGGTCAGCCTTGTCGAACTCCACTGGAGACAGTGAAGGGTGGAGAAAGTTGGCCATAGGCCCTAACCCGACCTGAGGTATGGCGATACGACTATTTGAGGATCGACATACTTCTCAGGTACTCCATTCCTCAACAAACAGCTCCGTAGTGCGGTCCTATCGACAGTCGAAGGCCGCGCGGCTGTCTAAGAATACAATGATCGTTGGTCTTTGGTAGGCATCACGGTGCTCTAGCAGCCGTCTGAGGGTGAAGATTTGATGGATGCATCCACGACCGGCGCGAAACCCAGCCTGCTCCTCACGCGTGATTTACAATCGGCGGAGAATGACGCACGCCAACAGCTTTGATGCTATTGGGATAAGGCGTATGATTGGCGCAGTGATTGCGCAGGCCCTATTTTAAGGTGGGGGCAATAATTGCTTCCCCCCATGAGGAGGGGACCGGCTCAGTGTTCCAAACTTCAATGAACAGAACTTGTAGTTCTCAAACAAGCTTAATTCCGCCATCTTTAAATAGGGCTGGGGAAAGGCCATCGGAGCCTGGCGCTTTGTGACGTCCCAAGGTTTGGATTTCCGCCTCAGAAGGTTGGTCTGTTGAGACAGAATAGCTGTGTGAGAAGCTGACGCTGGAAGCCAGCTAAACTGTGCTTTGAAGTGCTCCGTCCAGCATGCAAGATGTCGCTGTTGATTGTGACTGGGCGAACCGTCAGCTTCGCAGATCGTTTCGCTCACACCCAAGGCTTTCCTACTGGTGACCCGGGAATTACCCATAGCGACAGCATGTTCCATCTCTGACGCGCGTTAAATCCACCAGATCTCGCGGTCTCTGCGTAGGCTTACGTTGAGGTTACGACTC